GAAACACACAGCTTCTCCCTGACATGGCTGCATCAACACTACTGCTGTTTCTGAAACCACGCCTTCTTTCTTTGCGTGCACGTTTGGGCGGCATTATGCTAATATTTCCACATAGTGACGTAGACATGGGGGGAGTGTTAGAACGAGCCGTTTTAGGTAGGTGTGGCTGACTCTTAACTTTTATAAAGAATATCTCTTTGGATTTGAGACTTTAGTCTTTGCAACTTTACAGATCTTCTTTATGCACCAAGAGCTTGTAACACTCCAAAGAGAAAGGAACAATTGAAATCGCATCATATGACCCCTTTAAATGGATTGTAAATACAACATGTATTTAGAGTGTATTTCTAATATTATGTATTTATTATTAAATATTTCAAATGTCTCCCAAATCAGAGGTTGAAAATGATTAATTAGCATGACTGAAAAACATAAACATTTTAAATTCATTTACAAAATCAGAATCAAGCATCCCTTCCTAATATTTTGCATACTGAAAGTTTGTTGTATTCACACACTCTCTGTTCTGGATATATATACCTAAATTGTTAGTTCCACGTTGCTTTTCCTGAACAAGTTACAATGATCTTGTACGGTTAGCTGTGCAAAATAGAGCTCCTGCTGATCAGTGGCGCACAAACACGGAAAACCGCTTCATAATGGAGCTCGTCCACCTTTCAGCACAGGCCTGCATCTCCTCAAACACACGGCTTAATGAAGCTACGGAGAAAACAGCAGCCACATGCATCTGGAGACTGATCTTATTTGTGCAAATACAAACCGATCACCCAGGGACTGAATGAGACTTAATCTGTAATTGCTAAAGATTCACATACAGCAAGTCAGTAATACAGACTGAAGCTCTGGATTTACTGTCATTTCTAATAATTGTTTAAGTATAAATCTAACAGCATTTATTGTGGTTTATGCTTAAAGGAATAATTCACCCAAAAGTGAAAATTTGCTGAAAATGTGCTCACCCTCAAGCCATCCAAGATGTAGATGACTTTGTTTCTTCATCAGATTTGTAGAAATGTAGCATTGCATCAGTGTCTCAGCAATGGATGCTCTGCAGTGAATGGGTGCCGTCAGAATGAGAGTCCAAACAGCTGATAAAAACATCACAATAATCCACAAGTAATCCACAGCACTCCAGTCCAGCAGTTAACATATGGAGAAGACAAAAGCTGCGTGTTTGTAAAAAGCAAAACCATCATTAAAATACAAGTCCATAATTCATAACCCAGTAAAAAAAAAGTCCATCTTCTGTTGTCTCTCACATCAAAATACCCCCATATATTTGTTTAGAGCTGTTTTGGATGGTTTTGGCTCATAAACAGTGCTTGATCTCTGCAGATTTCTCTCCTGATTCAGACCAGACCACTTTTTCACTTGAGGAAGCATTATTTATGGATTATGGATTTTCACCGGAAGCGATGGTCTGAAGTTAAAAACGTCTTGCTGGATTTTTTTCAGCTTTTGTCTTCTCCAGATGTTAACTGATGGACTGGAGCGGTGTGGATTACTTGTGGATTATTGTGATGCTTCTGTTTGGACTCTCATTCTGACGGAACCCATTCACTGCAGAGCATCCATTCCTGAGCAAGTGATGGAATGCTGCATTTCTCCAAATCTGATGAAGAAACAAACTCATCCTAATCTTGCATGGAACAAGAAAAAATTAAGTTTGCCAGTAGAGCAAGAAAAATTATTTATTATCTGGCGCTATTTTGCTTCTCTCGCAAATGTTTTGATGCTTTAACTGTAAAACAGGACTGATTGTGAGCGTCTGTGTGTCTGTCAGGTGTTCGTCCCCTGTGGTTCCTGTCGAAGTCTTCAGCTCCTGAGACACTCTTCACACGTCTGTCAGCCGCAGCTCCTTGATGAGCTCTGTGTTCTTCAGGGAGACGGGCTGCTAAAAGCTTTAAACACCAACATCTCACCCTGATCCCACAGAAATCAAAGCGAGCAAATCTCTCCTGCCGAAACGCAGTGGATGTGAAGGAAGGAAGAGCGAGACTGTAACTGATCAAAGCAGAGTTAATCACAACATGAGCATGTGTGTTCATAACAGTTTATGATCATATGCAGATATTACAACAGCAAACAAATCTGCCTTGACTGAACAAATTAATCAAAATGGATTTATAGCGTTTTGGAACCAAACTCTTCATATGTATATATATGAAGAGTTTGGTTCCAAAACGCTATAAATCCATTTTGATTAATTTGAGTAAAAATGTGGTTTCTTTACCAAGAAATTGGCAAGATGAAAACCACTATTTTCTGTTTCAAACTTTCACATAGCATCTTTAGGTTATAATAAAATGCAATAAATCCATTGAATCAATATAAGTTATTTTTACATTCAATCAGTCATCGCTCCCAAAATGAATTCAACGGGTAATCTTGTTAATGCTATAAATTAATTACAACAATAAAAGAAAATTTCAACAACAACCATATCACATTAAACCACAGAAATTCCAAAACGACATTTCCCTTACATTCAACTTCCAAAAGTGCATTCATCTTTGCCATGTTACATTCATTTAGTTGACTAGTGCTGTATTAACAAAAACATTAATGGCATAAATAAAAACACTTACACTGACAAGCTACGCAATATCGCATTCATAATCGAATGAGACTCATCTGCGATTATGAACGCGATATTGCAGTGATCTACGGCTCTGTGTATTAAATGCCGCTCCATCTGAAAGCACGTGATGGAGATTTACTATTAATCACAGAACCGGCTTTACTGACGAGATGCGCATGACAATCACATCTCATTACTGTCTAGAGTGCGTGGAATGGTGCGCTGTGATTGGTTGAGCAGATATATCGCATTCTGCAGAAAAGGGAGACTGGCGTTTGTCGCGGTTTGGAAAAAAAGGGAGAAAACATGACAGAATAACTCGGCGGATATCGCATTTTGCATAAAATTAAAAATGGACTTTTCAATACCGACCAGATACAATACTGATTTTGGCGGAAACTCAATAAAAATAAAAAAAAAGGCGTTTATCGCGTTTTGGAACCAAACTCTTCATATATATCAGTCTAGTATCAGTCTAATCTAGTACTCGTATCAGTAAAGTAATGCAGCAATAAACTAAAGAAACGATTAATATGTGCGTAAGTCTGCTTAAAAAAATTACACATTCGAACACGATCGGAATGTACGTGCATTGAGAGACATGTTCACATTCTTAGTCTTTTTAACACGGTAAAATTGTGCGTCTTTACATGGACTAAAGAAACGCGGCAAAAACTGACGCCTTAACAAGGCCAGAATGTGCTTGTCTACGCCGTCTACATGGTCAAATTTTACATATTCTGTTTAAAGACGTTTGGCCCCGTCTGCCTTCCATATGGTCATTCCCTGTAGTAATATTTATTATTAAAAAGCATATATATACACTTAATTTCACACGTTCCTTTTAAAGGGTTTTGGCCCCGTCCGCCTTCAATATGGTCATTTCAGAAAGATGTGTGATTCACTCTGAGGGTTGAGAGAATAAAATACAGTGTTTAACCCTGTAGTAATATTTATTATAAAGCATGTATATACTTAATTTCAAACGTTCTTTTTAAATGATTTTGGTCCCATCCACCTTCCATATGACCAGCAGGAGCCAGTGATGGTGTCACTGTGACCTCCTGACCTCATCTGCCACGTGTTTCCATGGCAGCAGTAAACAAAGACTAGAGAAATGGGAAGGAGACGAGCGGATGGAGATGCATGACCTTTGACAGACGGACTCTTGGGAGAAACACACCCGTGAGACGCACTCAACTCAAACTCTGTCAGGAGTGATGATGGTCATTTTCCTCATACGCTTATGGATATCTCATCACGGGCTCTTTCTTTCGGACATCCCTGTATTGTTAATGCTGTTTGAGAGGTTTCATCGGTCTCCGCAGAGGCGGATGGGTTGAGAGGTTGTTGGCGTCGGTAAATCCTCATGTGCCCTTTGAAGTGAACGTCAGGGGAGATTTATGCTGTTAACACTTTGTCTCTATGTGAGAATGAATAATAATGTCAAACACAGAGCTGGTTAGTCATCGGCAGACGTGGAGACAGGAGAATATTTACAGCTCACTTATAGATATATATTTATATATATTATTTAAACATTTAATAATGCATTATTTTCTTATTTTTCCCCTAATATATAATTTTCATTTAATTTTGCAATTTATTTATTTATAATTTTTTTTATTTTGTCTTATATATTTTAATTTTTTTAATGTTTTAATTTCATTTAATTAATTTATTTAAACATTTATTTATACTATTTGTTTATTTGTTACATTTAGTTTTACAAGACTATTTTCACCCACCGTCTGTGAAATTGTCTGTATAATTGATGTGTTTATTACTCTGTTGATGTATTTATTTTTAAAACAGGAAGTGTGAGCGGGACATATCAAGGGAACATCTCTTTTTAGCCAATAGCCCTACGTTTAAGAAAGAAACATGGTCTGTGATTCACCTTTGTGAAGTAGATGTACTATAATGTCCATCTGCTAGCGTTTCCATCTCGACTACTCCAGTCTGTTCCTCTGATCCAGTCTAACATCACATTCATCTGAGTGCACAGCGCTAACAGGGCCGTTTACTGAAGCCGTCAATCACAGCGCCTGTCTAACCAATCATCTTTCACCTTCAGCCCGCTCATCCCGCCCCCTCAAGGACTGTGTTCTGTTATTGACAGGTAATCTCCGTTAGAGAGATCTACTGTCTGTGCGGGACGACATGTTATGAAAGGACAGTGCTGTATTATCTGAGTCTGACAAAACTCATTATAATCCAACATGATGCATCCGAGAACCACAACAACATGGCCAGGTCATGTCATAAAAAAATAACACAAGTATAAATGTAAGAAATCATATTTTGGGAACCTTAAGATTTTATGCATTGTGAAATTATTTTTGCTAATTTGCATAACGTTTTACCTTAACATTTTTTGCTATGTCTCATTATTGTAATACAGTACTTTGTTACAAAATAAATTGCTGTACTACAATGATTTTGATTTAAATCAGCACATAAATTAAATGTAGTACTTAAGATACTATAATGATGTATAAATACTGTACAATTTAAATGATATAATCTCTTTTTGCATTTCAATAACGAAAATAATTTTTCATTTATATTTTATTTTATATATAAAAAAGTTGTTCTACTAATAATCTAATGATTATCAATATTCTCCTGTTTTGCATTTCAGTAATCTTTTTTTATTTATTTTTTTATTTAAATTTAATTTATTTTGTATTATTTACAAAAATGTATTTCCATTTGATTTTGCTTGTATTTTATTTTATAAAAAGGTTGTCCTATAATGCTTTTTAATCAGCATAAATTAAATGATGCACAAGAGATACTATAATGATATATAAATACTGTACTATTTAAATAATAAATAATAAAAACATTTACTTTTTTTTTTTACATTTCAGTAATCAGAATTATTTTCATTTTATTTTTCATTCTATTAGTTTATTTTACTGTTTTTGCAAACAATACAATACAAACAATACAAACAATATGCAAACAATATTTAAAATAAACATTTAAATTAGTATTATTTTCATTATTTCTTTCTATATATATATATATACTGTATATTCTTCATTTTTAAATTAATTAATTAAATTAATTAATTATTTTATGTTGTGTTCTTTGCAAAATGTAATGGGTTTATTTTCATTAAGCCAAAAAAATAAAATAAAAAAATCTTATTTTCCATTTGATTTTGGGGTGAAAATGAGCCACAGATGATTTTGACAGGTTTGGGAATGTTTGACAGACTTCAGTATGAGTGTGTGTTTGTCTGAAGTCTGTTGTTGTCTTTGCTGTTCTCTCTGCGATATATAAAGCTCACTGTGTCTTAATAAATTCTCATATTGTCTCCTCACAGCGGATCCGATCCGGGAGGTTATACATCTCTGATGGGAGTCACAGTCACAGCAGGACACGGCTGACATTTCACCCTCATCTCAGGCTTTAGAAGGTACATGAGGCTGGACTTTATTGTGAATAACCACAACACAAGTGTCATAGTGACTGTTTACAATATATACAGTGGGTACGGAAACTATTCAGACCCCCTTAAATTTTTCACTCTTTGTTATATTGCAGCCATTTGCTAAAATCATTTAAGTTAATTTTTTTTCCTCATTAATGTACACACAGCACCCCATATTGACAGAAAAACACAGAATTGTTGACATTTTTGCAGATTTATTAAAAAAGAAAAACTGAAATATCAAATGGTCCTAAGTATTCAGACCCTTTACTCTGTCAATATGGGGTGCTGTGTGTACATTAATGAGGAAAAAAAATTAACTTAAATGATTTTAGCAAATGGCTGCAATATAACAAAGAGTGAAAAATTTAAGGGGGTCTGAATACTTTCCGTACCCACTGTATATCACACCTTGGGTGTCTGAATTGATTAAATATAGATAATAAATCCAGTCAGGAAAAGCTACTGAAAAGATTTTTAAATGTTATATACTCAATCAGAAAATGTATGCACAAAATAAATACATACAAATAAATTAAATTGAAATAAAATATGCATAAAAATTATATTATATATATATATATATATATATATATTTTAAACTATATATATATATATATAGATTTAACAAATGAATAAAAATAATTAAATAAACGAATAAGTATAACTAAATTAAAAATAATATAAATTAAATAAATCAATTAAATTAATGAATTAAAAACAAAATAAAATAAGATAGGCTTTACTTTCACTGGGCAATAAATAATTTCTCATTACTTTCCAATTGATTCTGGGGGAGATATATGATCCACACATGTTCTTGACAAGTTTGGGAGATTCACTTCTTATGCATTAATCTTGAACGACTGGAAAGGTCGTGGAAAAGTGTGGGAACCTTGAAATCTCTTGCCATTTGTGTGCAACATGCATCAGACGGGTCTGAGGTTCAGGGTGACGTCACTTTCCCAGGCTGTAATTCAGTTTTCTTCTCATATGATTATCTTTCTCGCTGATGATGAAGAGAGCTGTTTGAAAAGAGCAGCAGAGAGTCTCACACCACTGCAATTACTACAGCGACATTAGTCCACTGCTAATTAAGATCATGAGCCATTCATCCTCATTTAGACTAAATTTACTGCCAGGAAAATCTGCTAATTACTGTCATTACTCATCTGTCCGGAGGAGTTCAGATCACACATATGTGTGCGGCACATATGGAGAGTCACAGTCACTGACATTATTACACAGCAATTTAACACACCAATGAATCAATCACATGACTGAAAGGATTTTTCTGTTTTGAAACTTTTGTCAGGTTTTTCCTCATCAGTTTATTTCTAGCTCGATGTGTGTTTGGTCAGATAAGTTTAAAACCACAGCCTACATATATAGAAAGATCCCATTAATATTAAATAATTTAATTAATTTAATAATTTATGCATTTAGCAGACGCTTTTATCCAAAGCGACTTACAGTGCATTCAGGCTATACATTTTTTACAAGTATATTTTAAATAAAACTGCATTCTTTTTTACAAATTCAAATTACATAATCTGGTAGATCAGTTTTACGTTTTAAAGGGGTCATATGATGCGATTTCATTTTTTCCTTTCTCTTTGGAGTGTTGTTTACATTTATGATAAGTGACTGTTTCAGGTTCAGATTTCAAAAAGTAAAATACTTGAAAAAAGTCTACACAAAAAGCTTTGTGAAGCTTCGAAACTTTTGCGAATCTTTTGTTTCGAAACGGTGGTTCGTATCAAACTGCCAAAGTCACGTGATTTCAGTAAACTAGGCTTCATTACGTCATAACTGTTTCGAAACGTTTCGAAATTTCAATGGTTTTCCATTGGGGGACGATCTCTGTAAACCCGTGAATCATGCGAGTTCACTGAGATCGCCCCCCAGTGGCAAACCATTGAACCAGCGGCTATGGTTTTTACCTAATCTCGGATCAGTTTCATCAATTTGTAGACCTTTTTAACAAGGCATTTGTGTAATTAAAAGGATGAGAAGTAGTTAATAGTCTCTTTCTGGCCTATATATACAAGCTCTCCATAAAACAAAACAAGCCCTGCAAATTAATATAAAATATTTCAAAAGCCATATATACAGACACTTCATATTTAATGGTATTTTATCATTTTTATGGCATTTAATGTATTAAACTTTCAATAAAACATTTGCAATGGGGTTTTAAAAGCTGTTTTTATGCATGTTTTAGCCTGAGTTTTTGTTGCATTTACACACTTTTGACCAGCAGGCGTCACTAGCATGTGGTGTTTCAAGCGCTTCGAAACGGTGAATCATTTTGCGAAGCAATTGGTTCAATTGATTCGAAGCTTCGAAAACGTTCGTTTCTCCCATCACTATCAAAAATCAAGTCACAAGCGAGATGAAAACAGTGTAAGCAATTTACTGGAAAAAAAACAAGGCAACAAGGCAAACGTTTCAATGCCAAGCTAACAATGTTGGAACTAGGAGCCATCTTGATTTAAAGTGCCCCTATTATGGATTTTTAAAAAATTACCTTTCATGCAGTGTGTTACACAGCTCTAAGTGAATGAAAACATCCTGCCAAGTTTTAAATTTGAAAGTGCACCGTGTATAAAGTTATTGTCTCTCAAAAGAAAGAGTCGACTGAATCATTGAAATGAGTCGTTTTTAAAACGAATCCCAAGCATATTGCCCGCCCACTTGTTGGTCTTTTCGAATTGGTCTGAAATGCAAATTCATTCTTTGCCACTAGGTGCCACTTTTGGAGCGGTAAAAATAGCGGTTTCCCCGGTAACGCTGTACACAAAGCAGCACTGCGCTCACAAACGCTGATTTATCAGCCAATACAGGCAAAATGAATCGGAATTGGCAAAATGAATACAGAAAAATAAATCGTTGAGCGAATCGTTTGGGAGTCATTGAGCAAATAAGGTAAAAATAAATGCATATTATAAGACAATTAAAGTGTTTTTTGACCTTGCATGCATGTCAACCTGTTGTTGGGGACTCCCAAAACCAAAATATGAACCTTTCATAACCCATAATAGGGGCACTTTAAGGAATCACATGATGATTTAGGAGATCACATGATCAATCAGAACCAATCAATCAGAATCAAGCACTGATCCAAAAAAAACCACCACAATAGATCAATATGCTAAAAAAAAGCAGTTAATCGACATATTAAATTACACAAAATCAAAATATAAAGAAAAAAGGTTCAGATTTCATGCAGCTTTAATACAGACTGCATCAGCAGTGATTCCTTCTTAGTGAATTCCCTTTGGAAAGTGTTTTTAACAGACGATCTTCCGCTCAATTAGTTTGGAAAGTGGTAGAACAAACTGTCAGCGTCAGTGGTTTTTCTGGATATTCAGTTTTTTCCCAGAGCAGGATGTTCTCCGGGTTTTCTTATCTCGGCTCGCCAGCGCTGGAGTGTGTCCTGCTCTATCGCAGATTGCATAAATATCTTTGACATTCATCCAGCCTCTCGTCTGGTGTCCGAGCTTCTCTCCATGAGAACTGATGTCCTCTAGAATTCAATTTCCTCCGCTGTGATCTGGTTTTATCAGGGTAATAACTGTTCCCAGGCCTGTGCTAATGAAACCTGTCAGTCCTGCAGGACACGTGTGCGTGATTGAGGGTGACCAGACGCCCGCCGCTGCATCCCGACATACCTGAGCGCTGCTCGCGCGTCTGCTCCCGATCAATCTGTCAGCGCAATAATCCCGGACCGATGAACAACATCAGCGCAGTCTGACACACTGTAGTCTGGGATCCTCTGCGCAGCTGTGCCACAGTATATGAAGGTCAAATGAACGACACGAGAGACGTCTGGCTATTTTTCTTAAGGTTAAACAAGCGAGCTGAAGAACCAGCAAGGGAAGAGCTTTAAATGAGCAGTTCAGCCAAAAATTAAACAGTCTGTCAACCTGTATAACTTTATTTTATCTGTGAGACACAATGTTAGGTAGAGGGTTCTGAACAGGTTCTGTCTAAAGAGAAAGAAAGTCATACAGGTTTGTGTTGAAGTGCATTTTCATTACAGGATAAAAAATAAAAAAGCGCATTGCAACTTTTTTGTCGCAGTTCTGATCTTTTATGTCTTGCTATTCTGCCTTTAAAGGGTTAGTTCACCCAAAAATGAAAATTAGCCCATGAATTACTCACCCTCAAGTCATCCTAGGTGTACATGACTTTCTTCTTTCAGACGAATCCAGTCGGAGTTATATAAAAAATTGTCTTTGACCTGTCAAGCTGTTTAATGCCACTCAGCGGGTGTTGCAGTGAATCAGTCCAAAAGAAGTTAAATAAAAAGCGCCCATCCATAAAAAAAGTGTCTCACACGGCTCCGGGGGGTGAACAAAGGCCTCCTGTAGCGAATCGATGCGTTTTTGTAAGAAAAATATCCATATTCAAAATGTAATAATCACTTTAATGTAGCTTGCTCTCACTGTTGTACACGGAAGCAGCTCCGGGAGCATGACGTATGAGTTCAGCTAGTAATTCAAACTTTACATCTCACAATTTGGACTTCACGTCTCACAATTCTGAGTTCATGTTTTGCAATTCAGACTTTACATCTCGCAATCCAGCCTTTATATCTCGGAATTTGGACTTTTCACAATTCTTAGTATCTTGCAATTCTGACTTTACATTTCGCAATTCTGAGTTTACGTCTCACATTTCAGGCTTTGTTTCACAGTTCTAAATTTACATCTCGCAATTTGGACTTTGTCTCAATTCTGACTTTACATCTTGTGTTTCGGACTTTACATCTCACAATTCTGACTTTACAACTCACGATTTTTTACTCTATGTCTTGCAATTGTGAGTTTACGTCTCACATTTCGGAGTGTAGATCTCAAAATTCTGAGAAAAAAAGGTAAAAAAGTATGATATATAAACTGAGAATTCAGACGTTTTTACATCTCACAACTCTGACTTTTTTGTTTTTGCCATTAAATAAAAAATAAAAAAGGTAATTTTGACTTTTTATCTCACAAATTCTTGCAATTGCGAGTTTATATCTTGTAATTTGCATCTTGCAATTCTTAGTTTATATCTCACAATTCTTCTTTGTATATTCTTTTTTTCTCAGAATTGCAAGGGGAAAAGTCTGAATTGTGAGATAAAAAGTTGCAATTATCTTTTGTATCATGTGGTTTAAGCAGGCCTCCATGGGTTTGAAACAACATAAGGTTGAGTAAATGGTGATAGAATGATAATTTTTGGCTTATTTATTCCTTTAAATCTTGGAAAAGACAATGCATCAGTTCTCCTTAAGGAAATGAGAAGGCTAAGTCTTGTAGACTCTGAGAAGCATTATGAACCCTCTCTACTTTCATTAGTTTAACCCCCTGTAGGAGTTCATTGGCAGGTCAGATTTGGACAGGCTTTCGCTCTCATAAGCCTCATTGAAAAAGCAATATGTTCTGAGTCAGGGTGATGATTCAAAGAGAGCCGTGCGAGAGCCTCGTATGTTCTGGTTTGAGGGATCTTCTCTAATAAGATGAAGTGACTCTGACACTGAACAGCAAAACAGACTGTCAGTCTTCAGAGACGGAGATCCAGGACAATCATGAACTTATGAACCATTTTCTCCTTCACTTTGAGTAATCATTATCATATTTAAGAAGAACATCAAACATCACAACTACTTTTTTAAAGCATGAATGTAAAACAAAACCGTAGAAATATTTATATAATTTATTATTGTTTTTTTCATATAATTTTTTTTTTTATTCAGCAATGATGCATTAATTTAATAAAAAACAACAGTTTATATTTTAAATAAATGTTCTTTTTAAAAATAATAAATAAAAATAAAAATATTGTGCAGCACAACTGTTTTCAACATTGATAATAATCAGAAATGTTTCTTGAGCAGCAAATCAGTATATTAGAATGATTTCTGAAGGATCATGTCGCACTGAAGACTGGAGTAATGATGCTGAAAATACAGCTGCGCATCACAGAAATAAATTACAGTTTAACACATATTCATATAGAAAACAGCTGTTTTACATTGTAATAATATTT